CAATGATTAAGTTTTATTGACATCTCGGCTCAAATAAAACGCTCGGGAATGGAAACCAAAGAAGCACGAGCAAAATATAATTAATTAAATCTAGGCTCGCGGATGGGTGAAAAATCGAATTAACCACTTTAGCAATCTTCGCTTGCATGCAGCACTAATTAGCGTACAAATGCAAATAAAGAATTTGGAGGAAGTTTTCAAGACGATAAGTTATTGTCAGCACATAAGTTTAACATCAAATAGAGAGTTAGATGCTAAGTAACATTCAAATTTTGCGAATTCAATTATTTATTTATAATTATTTATAAAATTGTTCAATATTTTGCTCAACCTATGAATATACACCGCATGAACCAAAAATAGTACAAGTCGTGATAATACAATCGCACGAACTGCTCGAAATCAGCCACAAATCCAATCGATGTTCGTTGTTAAAGAAGATGGACGCACAACTTGTACTTGTTGTTAAACTGTAATGAACCTTGATAACATCGAACGCGGCCTGAATTTCCACCGCGCACTAAACTCGCGCCACTGAAGCGGATTATAAATTAGTGCAAAGTATACAGTCGGCTACTGAAAACATTAATTTACACCTTGGCCATTCGAGGCTGCGGCTGCGAACATCAAACAACAAGTTAATGCCACTTCCAGGGCACTAATTTTCCACTTTTAAGTGCGGCTGTTCTTTGACTATGTAATTGGAAGTTTGTAAACTTCTAGAGCTTCACCTAGGATCACAGCGTTCGCCACTGGACTGGCGCAATTGAGGTAATGAAGTTGTGTCGCGCATTGAGCACAAACACAACTTTGTTTCATTCGTTATCTCGTGTCCTCCTGAAATTCGATTTTCGCCGCGGTGAGCAGCGCTCGCGTTTGATTGATTATGACAAGCTGGGGCAATTTATTACACGCCAATTATAACGCTTAAAGTTATAACAGTAACCGCGTGTCGCGATCGGCGCCCGTTTACGCTTAATTTATTACCTTGCCTGACTCGAAAAGCAAACGCTTCCAATTGCATTTTTCTACCAAAATCTTCTCATCGATTAACTCCGCGAACTGCTTCCAGCAACAGTCCGAATTTAATCTCGTGCTGTTGTTGTTGTTTTTTATTTGCGCTACAGGGCTTTAATACTTTACAGTCACTTTATGCTCACTTTATTTCGCTGTTAAACTATGTGAAATCGCTGTTTTTAAAAATAATTCTGGCCGGTAATGAGTTCGCTTCACGAGCGGAACAAATAAGGCGCAAAAATCGCGAGCGGGCAAAAACAACGCGCGTAAATCGCTCGATGTCACTTAAAATCATCTTCGTGCGATATCAAACAGCTAGAAAACGAACAGATGATTTCTGATAATCGCCGCAATTAGATTTAAGTATTTAAACTGCTCTCCGTGCTTTTAACAAGTAGCTTCGCAACATCAATTATAATCATCACGATTTATTAATCGTATCTTAATGACATAAAACCTGCTGAAGCCGCAGGATGGCTGCATATTCGACGTTTTGTAAACTCTGTTTGTTGTTTTGGATCCGGTGCAGTGAATTGTCTAATAAATTTGCTACACCCAATTACCTCGCGTTTACTCCAGTGCTTTCGGTGCGTCTTCCGTGCGCTCGAGATTTTTGCGCGTTTTATTCGTTAGTTCATTAAAAGCGCAATTATTGCCATTATTAACGGATTAAACAGATAAAGTGCAGCGGCTGGCATTAAATTTTAATTTATCTCGGCATCTTTACATCGCTTACTCACCGCCATTACATGACAGTCCACGTTGATATCTTATCAGGTCTCCATTATGCAGAGCTACCTCTCGCAGGCAGGTTTTAAACGCAGTGTCACCCATCACCGTGTGATTAATAAATTTGAAAAATGTGCAAACCGGTAATGATGACACCCTGTGTTGAAGTATGCAGCGCAGGTAAAATTGATACAACACTCAAAGTGCTTGTAGCGCGTTTTATAACTTGCGCTAATTGTATTTATCACGCTTATTAATCGACGGGTAGTGGTCGCAACGTCATTATCAAGCTTAATATGACCACCATCGGCGGATCGCAACGTCGCCGTAATGGCTCCAACGGTATGATAAAGTCACTAACGAACGCAAGCTTCGCGCACCACAATTAACGCGGACATGCGAGAGTACGGCGAAATATAAACACGTCCGAGGCGCTAATTGTGCCCGTGTAGGAACACCTATAACGCTCGCCGGATCTAATAGCCCTACGATCTTAACCTTCATTATTTTTATTTTATCGCATCGCTCTCGGTACGCAATTAGGCCTGCGACGCGTATCTGCCCCAATTCGCTGTCCGGCATTGCGACACACAATAATAACAAGACGAGGCGGTTCTCGGAAGAAGCGCGGCGACACCAACACACGCTAGTTGTCGCAAACTGTAAAATGCGTGCGAAGCGCCCAACCACAAACTCAATCAACGACGTGCATGCAATTAGACATAATTCACACTCATTTGATTTACTTCCGGAAAGCGCTCGAGTGGATTAACCACGAGCGTGGCAGTATGAGAAACTATGCGTAATTTTCAATGCAAATGTGCAATTAGAATCTTGGCTGGCGGTCATTGCTCGTGAGAGTAAAAACAGCATACACACACAACACACCAAATCAGATGGTGGAGGCGCCAATAATTTTTGCAATCACTGCGAAAACTTCTGCAGCCATATGGCGCAGAAAACGATTAAAAGATCCGCGCGCGCGGCGGTTAGTTAGTGCGGTGGTCGTATTTTGAAGAATCAAAGATCTGCGCCGCTGCAGCCGACTTCTGTGTGTATACTTCCTCGCGCGCTCGACCGGCTCGAGGAATCGCCGCTATCGTTTAGTTCTTCTCCCGTAAACGGCGGCGCATCAACCACCGCGGGACCGAGCGTGCATAATTGAAAATCTGTGTGGCCTCCGCCGACATCGACAGCGCCAGCAGGTATTTACGGCGGGCCTTTTGTTCCCTTTCACCGGCTTCCAGTGTCTTTCAATTTGGTCAAAACCTACAGGATGCTCGTCGCCACCAACTTTTCGCGGCTTTCCGGCCGTTAAATCATTTATTGACAAATATAAATGTTGTTTTGACATGGTCGACTTTTAGTTAAATCATGCATCCGCTGCGGGATACCCTTGTCGCGCGCGCCCGCTCTTCGGCAGCGCCAAATTACGGAATAAATTAATTAATTATTCCGAAACTGTACATCTTCGAGCGCTTTGTTGTGACTTGGCTCCATACATTGCAACATCGGTGGTTTTATTGCCGCCACCGGAAACGGCATAAAAGTGACAAATATCGATTACGCTCATTAATTTATCAATTAGAAAACACAAATCAAATAAGCATCGACCAGACTGCTGCGGCTGCGGCTTCGCCTTCCTGCCCCGTGCGCAGCAGGAAGCAGCGCCTTTTCGAATTTTCCTCGCTGCTCTGATCTGTTAATTATTCGCCTCAATTTATTAATGAGTAGTGGAAGACGTGACCGAGTCGAAGCTCATCGGCCGATCGATTAAAGCGCTATTGATTGCTTTCCTAATATTTAATGGGTCGCTGCTTTTTCGGATATTAATGAGTTCCTTCGATTCATAAATTATGCATTCGTCCGTGCGTCGCGCGTCCAACGGTTTACACAAAACACCAAAACACAAGACGGGATGATGTTAGTGCAATCGTAGATTTAAGCCGATAATACTCTGCCATGCGGCTAATCGTGCACGTGAAGGTTCGCTTATCGCCAGGATCATTTAATTACGTGTTGGTTTTGATTATTGCGCGCGCTAAACGGTTTTGATTCGAAGCTAAGCAGCCGTAAAATCTCATTAATCATAATCGCGGTTTCGATCAAAACAACGCTGGCGTACGCGTTACGTCAGATAAGAGCGTGCCGGTGCTGGTGCCGCTTGCGTCAATATCCGAAATAAGCAGCATGAAGAGGTGCTCGTTGAGCAAGAGGACACGCGCACGTCGGAGGTAGCGGCGCGCGACTTTAAGAGCTTATTTAGTTTTAATGTGCCAGAGCAAAACTTGTCTTTTCAGCATTTCAACAGATCCACGCGAGCGAGAAAAATAGCACTGGCCACCAATGCTACTGATGGATATCTCAGATGGTTCTTAAGGACGCATGCATTAAGTAAAAACAAATATAGAAGATCCTCTGTATATGCCATGCATGACGGGAGTTTAAAAAACTTTAAAAACCACTCCATATATTCTTACATTCTGGGAAGCACTTTGAATTCTTTTCGACTCTTTAAACTACACGCGTTCTACCAATAATGGTATTTTGGTGGTTATAAAACCGATTTCAGCTATAAATTAACGACTTCTTTAAACTGCGGCTTCCTATTATTTTTTATTGTCGATTAACATAATTAACAAGAGCAAATTTTCGGCGTTTGGATGGCTGCCCATTGAAGCACATTCCAATTAATTGTTGGGGAGATACTTAATGCAAATGATGAAGTTTATACGACGTTTTTAAGCCGGGTAATAATACCGCTTAATTGTTTAATTATAATGTTGATACGTCGGCTACATCATGGACATTCAACGACACGAAAAGATCAACAAACCGTTCGCACGCATCACGCCGTCAACCTATGGATTTCATAATCCTCACGTTAATTATTCCATTGGCATATTGCTGCCAGATGCGAGGTGCTGTGCTGTGATTCAATATTTAGACAGTCACTAGTCCGAAGGGAGAATTTAAATTAATTGCACAATTCGCGTGTTATTTTGAAACTTTTAAGTCGATTTGCTTTCATTGCAGGCGTGTAAGTACCACATAGATCATATCGCACGTTTACTTCGGTGTCAAGAGTGACACTCTCCAGAGTTATGTATCAAAAGTCCTTGAAATGCTAGTAAGCCCTGCAGCGTGTGGTGCTGCTCAAGCTCAAGTTCAACTTTATCTCTCATCATCAATCATCCACGATTAAAAAATAAAAGAAAGCAACAAAGTACAACATAGTGTCGCGAAGAACTTACCTATTCATTTTAAAACTGATAACTCTTAGCACTTAACAACAAACTGTGGGTGCGGAGCGCGCACAGAGTAAACTTATGTCCAACAACTTTAATTTACGTACTACTACTAGTATTGCACCGCGTCGCCAGGACGATCCGTGTTTTCGCAAGTTCGGCCCTTCGAAAATTTCCAACCACGCTCGTCGCGCTCGCGTATTCGTCGTGCTTGTATCGCCCCCGCTCTGTTCCTTCCACTGCGCCGTTGCGGCATCGACTGACTCGGAAACACGAGCGTCGCACATTGATATAAACGGCGAGGAGCTTTCGAAAACGCCGGCACGCCGGCACGCCACGCCGGGGCCCTCCACACCAACCAGCTAGCGCTTCTTCGGCTCGACGCCACTCGACGCTCGGTGGTGACGCGCAGTCGGCGTGCTGCTGTTGCTGCTGGCGCTGGCTTCTTCGTCTCGCCGGCCGGCAATGTGCGCGCTGCACACGCGGCGAAACAAGTCTCGGGAGGCGATAAGCATGAACGCAAACAAATTTCAAGAAATACCCACAAACCGACGGCTACTCCTCACTGCTCGATGGTGCCATTCGGCATCGTGCGATTCGCTTGCCTTCGCGCCCTCGCCGATGTATGTATGTAAATGATCGTGTTCGGCCCGCCGCGCGTCTTAATACTTTCGAACACTTAGCACTTTGTTCTTTCGCGTACACATGCGAGGGCATAAAACCAGCCCAAACGGCTTTGGCTGGGATTCCTCGCTCGGCATAAGTCCTTCGAAAGTTGAAGAAACTTTAAATACCGCGGATGCTGACATGATAAACGAAGGGTTTCTTCGTCGGCCGTCCTAAGCATGACAAAACCCACATTAAATGCCTGTTACCTTGATGTGCTTATAAATCTCGCGCTTAATACTTTTCAACTTTGAACATTTTTGACGCTGACAGCGGGCAATTTGTTTCAGCCGCAGCGTGTGTCATATTTTATTGAATTGCGCGTCTGTAGCCTTAATCACGCTGACGCTTCTTTGCTCCTGTTCTTGCTCGTCTCCTCCAATTACCCATTAGAATTTTTATTTCGTGCTTTATTCTATGAAGTTATTAAAAGCTAGCACGCAACTTATATTCACCGATGGTAATAATGTACCGGAGAGTCGTGGTGCGTTTTTCGTTTTATGTGTGTCACGCGATTGTTGCATGTTGCGCGGCGCGCGTTTTATGCGGCGTGGGTGCAATACCACCTTCCAACCTTTTCGAATTGCGACCGCTACACAGTGTCACTATGACTACGACCTTTCTGTACTCTTGTCGCACCTGATTCACATACAGCCGGTTGCGTTAATCAGCAGGTATCATTCCTGGGACCGCTTCGAGCGTGCAAATGTGCGCGAGGCAATCAAATCGAGACGATACAAAGGCTTTCCCAGCACGTGGTGCTTTCGTTTCAACGCGCTGCGAATACCATGAATGCCGGCAATGTTTACGGAACAAGCGGAGTGCCGCCGGGCGACGGACGGACTTTTAACTAGACTTCAGCGCTCGCGGGCGTCGGTTTTATTTTCCAAGGTAAGTACAAATAAGACTAGCGTCGTTGGGGTGGCTAGAACAACATGACAGTGTGGCAGGAAACAGCAGGAAAAGCAGGAAAAGTTGAAAAGAGAAAGGAAAATGAACATATCGACTGTCGGTGCTTTCAATCGATATAAAACACAATGAAAACCACTCACACACATCGCGCGTCCGCACACACACGCAAGGGTGTCCCTTTCATCATGTTTTCCTATATATTTTTATCACAAACATCCAGCTAAAATTGAACTATTGATCAAAATCGCCGAATTTCGCAATTCAATACAATTTGTTTGAAAATGTTTGGTAGTGTTTTGTTTGGGCCGCGTTGATGTGCGAATAAATTTTCCATTACCAGCACGATCCGCTTGTGTTTTTAATCTAGTGCTCTTGTGTACGTAGGTTTCACTCGCGGCTCGTTTTGCCTTTCCTCCCCATTACGCCGACCGCTGCACCGAATATGATGGAGTGTAATGCTCGCGCGAGTACGGCCCCAGCTTCCAACCTGAAGATTGTTACCCTTAACAACGTAATTGATCATCGGCGAATGTGGAGGCGCGGAGGTTTTTCCGCCGGCCGCCTTTTCATGCTCCTCATGTTTCATATGTCACGTCGCAGCGCCTGCTTCACTTTTCAATTTTCGTCCTTTGTGTGCCGCCATAACTCAGCGCAGATAATTACGTGTATTACGCCAGGCAGCGAAAATTGAGCGGCAATCATTTTCATTCCGGCGTTTGTGTTTGCGCTGGGTTTATTAATGGAGAAATAAGTCCGGTGTTTCAATTTCTAAATTAGATTGGTGACCCTATCAAATCCCACCCAACCCTCGGATGTGCACGCACGATCTAGATAGACACAGAATATATCTTTATCGATATCAGTGGTGTTAAAATTGGGACAGCGTTGTCATTCAATCTTGCTCCTTCTCTGTCATTTCATGGCACGGCCGATTGAAGCGTTGCGCGCGATGTGTGCGAATCGTTCGAGCGTGGACGGCTCGCTGTCGGTCGGTTTGTAATTCCACCTTCCCACCGGCCACTACGACCGGCACCGAGACTGCATTTGGAGCGTTTCGAGCATATTTCGCCCGCCGTTCGTGTCCTACGTGCGCCGACGTCCTGGGCGCGCTTGTCCTGCTCGAGCTCGTCTATTTGTCCGGCACTTTTGCCTGCGGCCGGCGTGCGGCTGCACTCGTTTTGCTATTGTGTCTATTTTGGCGCTGTTCTAGCCACGCCGCCAATCGTTCGCTATTGATCGACATTTGGAATCACAATCCAATCGAAACGCTGGCTCGACTAACACTGATTGTGATTATTCCATGCTTCACAGCGGCGCCTTTGTAATCATAATTACTAAATTACTAGCTGCCCGATAATATTTACTAATTTAAAGAAAAATGCAAAATTGTATTTTTATAGACTACGGCCAGTTAACGCAAAAATAACGCTTTGTTGATGGCTGTCATAAAAATAGCCAACCAATTCACAACTGTTTATTAATTTTTTTATTACTCCCGGGTATGTATTCCCCACCATCGTCCTCAATTTGATGTTTTATCAATTTTCTACTTACGATAGAAATGAAACTTGAAAATATCCATTTACTTTTGATAAAATATTTGAGTTACATCACAATAAGTTCCGAAATTACCCCACAAGAAGTACACACTTGAACGTGGAGGATTGCGCTCCCCAAAAAGTGAATAGCATTCCATCCGCCGCTTCAATCGCGCCCATCAAATATTTGTATTTCGTACGCACGCAGATCTACGAAGATGTTCGGCACCGTCTTCTGCGTCGCCGTAAAGGATCCTATCGCGCGAGCGTGTTGACTGCGAACAAACAAACGCATCGCGCCCCGCACCCCCGCGCCCAGCTAATAAACATACGTGTATGTTCACGTGAAACAGGGATACCATTATCCCAAACGTGTTGCTAACTTATTCCAACTTCAACGCGTTGAAAGCTCGAAACGCAAAAGGCGACAAGAAGTCTTTCTTCAAGAAAATATCAACTTACCATAAGAAAACCAGCTTGCAGCCAAGAAACACTCGGAAACTTTTTAAACTTGTGAGCTAAAATGATTTTATGTTTTGTCTCGTTACTCCTATTGGTAAACAGCCAAAAAGAAACGTCTATAATCATGTTATATAAAAACTAATTTAAAAACTTGTACAAAATAAAAGCAGAAAGCGGCGCACGGAGACGACGAGCATCACAGAAAGATGCGCGAAATGCGCTGAAAGTGCTTCGCCCAAAAGTAGAATACGGAAGTCTGGGATGCGACAAACCGTTGATGGCAAGGTAATAGCGTGGTGCATAAGCTGGAAACTTTTCGCACACTGTTTTCACAACCACTGAAGTTTTCTTATTTACTCGCCACTCTGTGCGGAAAGCCGGTAGGAAGAACTTTCATTCTAATTTTCTTACTCATTTTCCTGAATGTGCACGCTAAAAACACGGTGTTGGTTGTAAGTGCAACTAAGGACAATTCGGACCACGTTGTGGAATGTGATTTTTGTTTTGGTTTCGCTTGATTGCGACTTTTGAGTGTTTTGTGTTTGTTTTAGCGCTCGGATTGCACGTAACGCTGTAAGCTGTCGTGTGCACATTCCCGAGCTGAATAAACAAGTGTGGGCGATGTGTCAGACCAAGCTAAGAAGACATACACGCACACATTCATTGAAGCAGACGGTGACCCGATGGCCCGCCGCGTTGATTTTTCTATTTATTATTTTACTTCTTTTGCCTCCCCGGTGTCGCGCATTTCTGCGCACCGTATGCGCACAATGCGCTCGTGTGCGCCACGCTAAATGTTAAATAACTATCTACACAATACTCGTATGTGTAACTCCGTTGCATTTGCATTTACATACGCGGGCGTCGCGAAACGGACGCAAATAAATCTGGCGTTCGTCGGGCGCGCCAAGGTGTTTAATCCCCGCGCAGACGTTTCGCAGCGAAGGGTTGCCGCATAGTTTCGCCGTTAATCGCTGCTTTAATGGCACGCCGAGATTTGTATCTGGTGATATTCGTGCCTGCATGTGTAAATCGCACGCGGTCAGAACACATGGAATTATCTTGTTTCAAAATATCACCGCACTTAACGTCTGAAACAGATAACCGGCGAGACTTGGAGTGCGCAGATAAAAAGTCACCCCGAGGTGACGACATAAGAAGCCGTGGCGACATCCGGAAATTGTAATTTAACGGCGCGTTAATGTAAATCAAAACGCAACATAACAGAACAAGTGATTTGTCATTTCCGCCGCTGAAACCAATCCCGATAAGCTCACCTTTGTTGTGCCAACCCATGGATTGATCGTTCGTAGCATCGTGGCGACTCCGGTGTGTGAATTAATCCGATAAACACACACGCACGACGCTGCCACCATGTTGTCATAACGGCACACTAGGCATTGTTCATTTTGGAAAACCTCATCCTCATTTTAGCGCTCGCCGCGCTGCGAAACAAATAAACAAACCGACCGCGCGCCGATTTCGGAGAAACTAACAAATAGATGATATTTTAATACAATCGCAAACTGCATACGCAAAGAAACAAAGGCACATGAGGCGGAGGCAATAAATTTATAATTAAATTCCGTAATTCCGTCATTCTAGCCAGTTTCGTGAAACGTCTCAAAAGTCGCCGTGCTGGTTCAACGTCCTCGCGCGCGCGTCTGCTTCACTTCTTCACGCCGTCGTCCAGTCTGCGCTTTATATCTTCCTTTCTTTGCGTTATTCATTAACCATTTCGTTCGTTGCTTTTCGTCACATTTTCACGTCCATCGGCTGCGCCACAGCTTGTCTGTGTTTGCATAATTGCGGACTAACTGCACATGCACATGCATCTCGAAGACGTGAAATTTGGTAGCCGCTCAACCATTAGTATGCATAGTTTTCGGAGTGCCTCATCGGTTAATAAAGGTGATATTTTCGGTTATGACATAATCATACTCACTGTGTGACAGCTTTACGACGGACGGCGAGCGTAATTAACTTTTTGATCGTTTTATTAATCTTGCTATGGCGAGTCTGCGATGAATTTGGTGCGTCTGGTTCCTCGAAAAGAGGCACAATTATTGTAATATACTCGCGGTGCGTCTTATGCACTTTTAATGTCTTGCGTTTACTTTTTAACTCAAAAACTTGCGTCAGATTCGTAGGAGTAACAAATCATGTCCGCCGGGCAGAGAATATTTTGATTGGACTCATACTGCCCATGAAGCTTCCCATCACATATATTTCATCTTATTATCTTCTATTCGCTTAATAAAAATTGGATAGCTACTCAATTAAAATTCCGAAAGGACGGTATAGTACAGTTACAAACCATTCGACACTCATTATTTATGCTAATTTAATAATTGCTTTTCGTTGATTTATCGATGTGTGCTTAAAACTCTCTCAAACATTTGCTGCTTATGATCACGTCCCGATTATGATTGTCTAGTTGAAAGTTAGTAAGAATATAATCATCAGCGAAGTTATTAGCGCGTGAACCTGTGAATATACCTACCATCTACGCATGAATATAGATTGATTCGAGGTCGAGGTTCATAATGCGAGCTGTTCGAGAAAGAAAAGCCGTTTCCCCTTTTTAAGAACTTGCTAGGGGTGGTGCGACCATCACTATTTCTCCATGTGCACTCTATTAGCCGACGCATCGCCTCAGCTCTCCCCTAGAATGCGCCGAATTATCCAAACACGAGCAAACGTAAACGCAAACTCGCCCGCGGGGAGATCTTGCCGGGGTCTTGCAGGGATTATACCATCCGCCATCCGTAAGCAGAAAAGCAGCACGCCGGCGAATTTGCGGTGGTGTTAATTCCCATATTCCCACTAGATACTAGTCATCAAATGGATAGTCGGGTGGTTCCCCTTGTTGGTCGCGTTGCGTCGTTACCCTTAATCTTTCGCCATCCGAGCATCGACACGCGGCGCACCGCCCGATACAAATCTGTTTCTGATAGAAAACATCTATTAATCTATTATCGCATTGTACATTCAGCTTTAAAAGAACTTTCACAATTGAATATCAACGACATGAATCATATTCACCACAACAGCATACGACGCATCGGAAATTTGTTGTGATCGTCGCTTAATATCAGTTTGCTTCTCACTTCCCGTCGAACTTTTCGTCATTGGGTGGTCCGCGGCGTTAGTTGGAAGCAGCAAACGTGCACATGATTAGTATCATTAATATATTTGGGGCGTTGCACGCATATTCATTCCTCTGCTGCTCGTTCTAAGATGACATGCGACCGCACGAATTAGTCACGGCCCATACGAGCGCCGACTTTCCGGAGAAATTTGCAAACCGATATTTTGCGTTTCTTTCGTGGTCGTAATGTGCCATCAGCTTAAACGTGGCGACGTCCACGAAGTTAATGAAATGTCGTTGGCGTATCCGCACAAATGTTTTCAATATATCATCGGGCGCCAAAAATCCACTCCGGTTCTTCGTAATTGCTCACTCGCGGAGCGGTGCAGGCCGCTTTCAAGCGCCTAATGCCACATTTCGCATGCAAATAATGTGATGTTGGCGAATGCGCGCCGCCGATCAAACAGTGCTACAAATTACAGAGACGCGGCAACGATTTTAACGGTTGTTCTCCACAAGAATACCCGCCACAGCATGCGTTTTAAGGCAACTCAGGCTATAATAGCTTTGTAATTAAAGCAAATTACAAAGATACGGCGTGTTTACTTTTGTTGTTTGATGCTGTTGATTGGCCGTTTATTGCATATTTGCGCAATTAAGCGCAAACATTTTACTATAAAACACACTCGAATGCGCTTCTTGACATGAAAAAACAAACGTTGTGTCACTAATATAGACAACCAACATTACAGCACAGGATTTAGCCTTTTAGCATTTTAGTATTATCGCTTTTTGTATAGGCAGATGGAAATTGATTCAGATTTTACGGAATATTTAATGGCAGTCACTAATAAGACACTGGTCTATTGATTCTGTTGCTTAAATAAGATCTTTTTGCGTTTTAATCATTCAAAAACGCAATTTATATGACTTTAATCATGCATGAATGTTTTTCAATCAAATATATCAACAAAAACAGAAATTAATGCGTAATTTTTGTTTTGGATTGTATCTTATTATGCATGAATAATTTTGCAGAAGAAGTAAGGAAGGAAGTCTTGCATTACAAACTCTGACACAGGCTGCATGAAATACACTGTAATTCAATCCTTGTTGTGAGTAGAATGGAAACTGAAGATGCAATAATTTAATAACAGCTATATTTTATTATGTTACAGGACCTAACAAGTGGAGTGCTCTACTTTACATTGACACTGGCAACCTGCCTTTCTGCTTCTGTTTGATGCCAGTTCTCCGGTATTCACTTCTTTCTGCAAGATACTCATTGGTGCAACGTTTTTGAACTCCTCGTCCTGGTACCATCTCCTAGGCAGTCTTTGAGCGCAGTGTTCTCGTTGCGACAGGAAAATACCATCAGCAGTGAATTTTGCTGCAACACTCTGAGAACTTAAGAACTTCTTCAGGACATTTTTCTACCTTGGCGATGTCTCGCATTTTTAGGGATCATTACTTCGATCTCCACCTTTCGCAACGAACGATCATTAGGGTCACCGAGACCGTGCGGACCACCACCATATCTATTAGGAAGGACTCCTTCACCTCCCATTCTGCAATTTTATTAATATTAATTTCAGAGGTTAGAGCAAACGCTTCTACGGAATACATACACTAATAGTAGGCAACCCGCAGATCAGATAGAATCGTTAATTTATTTATTTCGAGTTTCTTCCCGTCATATTAAAGTTCAGAAGGTCCTTTACACCATTCACGGCATCTTCATTTTGCCCGAAACTAAAAACATGGGATGGAAAACGTCTACCTCGTGCACTAATTCATTTTTTCTACTTTCACTAGATACGAATTTGAAAAAGATTTACCGTTAGCTTTAATAGTTAACAAGAAAAGTGCGATAAACCGAATTCATTTTCTAAACTAGAAAAAACAAGTCTTCAAGGACACAATATCTTGAAAATATTATCTTAATATCATTTTGTTTCAGATGATTTTTTCAAGTAGTAATCGCACATTATAGTTTTAGATATTCTACATTTGTGAAGAAACAGAAGTACCAATTATTCGTGAGCATTTCAAGGACGTTTCCAGAGATGGAAAATTAAAAATGTTTACCTCGCAAAGAGCCTAAAAAGATATCCTCCCAATGCATGTACAGTAAAATCTCAAGCCCCTCCCAAAGTTAATTAATAGGTTTCACAAGCAAGAAACCAAGGATTCATAGAGAAACAAGCACAATCAAAGAAAAGGGTCGAAAGAGGACCAGAAAATAATGCCACCGAAAGAGAGGATAGCCCAAGAAGGATCAAATGCAGTCTAGGAGAGCGCCCGAAGAGGACTATAAAAGATCGTCAAAATCTCGTCGAAGAAAAGACAAAGAAGAGTACCAGACAAAGTCGAAGCAAATAGGAATCTAATTTTTCTTAAAAATTTCGTATTACACAAAACCCCAATAATTAGTTCGTGCGTGATTATCAAGGTAAACTTTGCTGTTTAGTATGATACAAAAACACAAATATAGGTGTCAGGTACCTTTCGATATGGTGAACAAATCGTATAAACGAGCGTTGCAATTGTTTTGCGATCGAATATCACCAATCGTAGAATTCTAAACAATTACTGTGCTGCCACGGGCAGCAGACCATGCCCGTTGTAATTGTCAAGTCATTCGTCTCAAGCATAGACCAATAATATAAAAATGCCATTTTCGGATGAAGGTAAGTCTGTAACATCATGGGGCACAGTACCATTTGATAATAATATAAGACTTGGGAACACGCTTCCAAGTAACTCAACGTCAAGTCCAAAAGTGAAAGAGAGAGCAAAAATTCGTCAACGATTATTGTCAATGGAGCTGGTAATTACAAAATTTATATAGAAACGATGCAGGAAAGGGTTTCGAGACACCCACTACGGTACCTGTCATCGCATCAACATATCCCAAAGGTACCAAACGCGAATGCCCCGACAAACCAATTAAAACTTCAAAATTGCCAAAACGGACTCTCAGACGGTTACAAATCATTCAATTGACAAATCGGGTATTCTGCACGATCGACTCTTGTATCAAATGCATCCTGAAACACAATATCTACAGCAATATATACCGTTACCCACAGAACCTATCGTCCTTAAAATTCCCTGCACAATTCCAAGTACATTTATGGCTTCTTATCCCAAGCCTTTGACAATGAAAACGGGCGCATACACGCACATCTTGAGAAATGAACAAATGAATCATCAACGTGCCGATATTGAGGCCATCACCAAATTGTGCTTCTCGCAAAATCAACGTCCAATAAAACTACAAACGCATACATCAACTACGCTTCCGTGCAAAATCATACAGCAAGAAGATAGTGCATAGGAACTATATTAAATACGTTGGTAGACGCAAAATATATATGTGATGCCTATTATAGGTTTTCCATCACTTTTAATAAATATCTTTATATCTTTTGCACACACCTCTTCTGAATAAATTTGTGTCGTTATTTTAGCGAAGAGCCAACCCGGCGGCCATGGCTTGAAGATTCAGACACTGTCTTTGTGAGTACTTTTAGTGTTATTAGTTTTTCTAGTGTTTGCACATTCTCTAAGGAATATATTTGACACGAATTTTCTGTTTTTATAGAAATTGCGTAGAACTTAATTATTCAAAAGGGAGAATCATTCTCTCTAATTGGTCGTACCGATGCATCAGGAACATCTGTAAGGATTGACGTTTTTGATTAAATTTATTTCTTTCGTTTTAAAACAAAATGCAAAAATCTGTCTTCAAAACTATGCACATGAATGACTTGTCCGCGGGAAACTAATTCTCTACGGTTTTGGGTGTAGTAAATTGTAAATGATTTCATTACTTTAAGAATGTTAGTCTAAATAAACATTTACCACTGTCGCTGCTATTATTCGGAGCGCGTTCTTCAATCTGTATTCAATTGTATGGTAAGCGCGGGCAACAAATAGCGCAGTATTTAACACAATATTATTATTTATCTAACTAATACATCTTTATAAATGCGCTGATCAAGAACAACATAATATACATACTTCCATACGCAAACAAGTTCACAATCTCAAGATAAAACAATGCGTTCATAAATAATAATAAAAAATGCTTTATCATTAGCACCAGACATAAGAACCAATATCTGTCGGTTGCATAGTTGTCGCAAAGCGGATTAGCATCCTACACATGCACTTACTTAACTGTGAGCACGCGAGTTTGAAAGTTTCTACATAATTCCGAATTAACAGTATCATTTTTTCATACAATCTCTACACAGTATATTAACTTAAATGTGTGAAGATAAAGATTTCACAACAGATATAAAGCAAGTTACATGTGTTCGCCATCCGAAATTGTTTTGCTTAATTAATATCATCATATATATCTATATATATTACTCTGTCTACGATAGTTGTAAATCAATCCAGAAAATAGCATGTAAATTAAGGTCTCACGTCATTTGAATCTCACATTGCATCATTTACCTAAGAATAGAATTGAATTATTTAAATTATAGATTACCCATTATTGAACGCGGAAGTTCAGTAAAGTGAAGTTACGACTCCGCGTTGTCATCGAAGTCTTCGTCCTTGTCAACCATTTCGAAGTCCTTGCCGGTGCTGGAGCGCTGGCTCGACTCCGATTCGCTCTCCGACGGTTGGTTGGTATCCGGCGTGGGCGGCGTGTCGCCACCTTCGTGCTTACTCAGCAGCGGCTCGGTGTCGTCTGTCTTGCATTCCGGGTCATCGTCGTTCTCATTCTCGGCGTCCGAGTCTTTGTCTTTTTCTTCTTTTTCTTGGCAGTTGATTCGCTGCCCTTATATTCATACTGCAAGCAAATCATTAGAATACATTTATATACGTCATAAATTGGCCGTCAAACAAACCTTGTAAAGCGGATAGAAAGAAGCAAAGAACCCAACATCCTCGGTGAGGTTCGGTAATATCCATATATGATGCTTCCCGGCGGTTAACATCCACACCAGACAGAAAACAATCAGACGCACAATCACCAATAGTATGATAAAACGAGAAAGCCGGCAGCTGCTACCGAGAGATAATAAACTCCAAGGCGCACGGACGGCGGCCACAACGGGAATAAGCACACGCCGATGGCGCCCAGCACCAGCAACGTGCCAATAATCCAGTAGTGAAACGGAATCGGATCGTAAATCCACACGTACGCGTCTAACCCGTCGACGAACACTTGGTCATTGTGCATATCGAGACGAATCTTGCGTTTCCGCTGGACTTTCTCACTATTCGTCGTGTCCGGCTTACCTTCGACGACGCTGCTCTCCGCATCGGTGTTCTTATCCTTTTCCTTCTCCTTCTTTTCAGCGTCGGTATCGCTGTTGACGGCTTTCTTATCCTTTTGCCTTTGCCTTTAAGTTCTGCCTCCGAGACGGGGATCTTCCGCGCCCGGTGGAAGAATTTGTGTTCCAGCATCAACTGCAGGTAGTCGACCACCTCCTCCCGGTTGGCGAACAACGCATTGTCACCACTGGCAAACTTCGACTCAAGTAAGGCATCGATCGCTTTCGCGGCCGTGAAGTATTCGACTATGTGATTCATAAACTTGGTCTTTTGATTGCGACGTTCTTGCGCATCCATTTCGCCAGTGCATACTCATCTTTACCAGGCTTCTCTACCACTTCTTCTCCAGCCGGTACAAAGCCCTACAACATACAATAACATAACATTAAATAAAACCAATAGTAAACTCAAAATGATACAAATTTAATTTATTAACATGCATGAGAGAAAATGGAACAGTAATGGTATTATTATGTACTTGGGCATGCATAACTTGTTGGTTGTTAGTTTGCAACTAAAGCTTAATTTATATTTGGCTAACTAGTGCATTGGGGAAGGCGCTAGTTGCAATCAAACACGACATTTGTTTTGATCTCAATCGCGACGTCGGTGGATACAAGCAAACAGGTAACAGGAAAACAATCATCGCATAGCCGAAAACAAACGTGCCGTCGTTCCATGACGACACCGCATACTAGAGCAATTAACCGTTAGGCGCCCGTTCGCTCGGCACGCATCGTCGATCAAACGTCACCCGCGCACTTTTCGATCACCGCTTCGAACATGTCATCCCTCATCGCACAATCATGAATAAAACGCGCCGCGTGCACTGCGATGTAACATCGTTCACGAGATAGAAGCACGCCGAAAACAGCAACGTCAGCCAGCCGGAGAGCGCGACGCAGATTGCAACGTCCCCAGGCGCCTGAGTGCTAGAGCCCTGGCGGTCGCACCGCGCCGTCGACCGCGGGTGCAACTTGGGTTCGATTCTTGATCTACGTTATCAAAAGGTGGTACCTCCTTGCGCTTCTTGCCTTTCTTCTTCTCCCCATATTGGAAACGGACTGACGTCACGCGAACTCTGCCACAGTGCTGCGAGGAATCAACAGCGAGCAATCAGCAGAACCAGCCGAAACCGAATACACCAAACAGTATATTGTCAGAGTACATAGTTCCCTTGCGTCTTAACACGCAGTTACTCCGGCCGCACATGCGCAGAGCCGCTGGCGCGACATTCGAACCAGCGGAAACAAGATTTTCGCAAATAAATCGCTCGATTCGCGCATTGCTGACGACTTCATGCATTCTAATCCGAACGACATCATTAACAATCAAAACGGCATAGTTTTTAACAAGTGCTAACACTGTTTAATAACACTGCACTTTCTATCGCAGTTTGCGCTGCCGAGATGGCGCTGTACTTTACATCACAAATTTCCAGCACGCAAAGACGCAACATTCAAAGATATTTCATAGGATTGCAGAATTTCAATACCAAAAGCCGAAAAGAACGCGAATATAAAGTGAGTTTTACACAACTCATAAACACAAAATACTTCTTACCAAACTGTTGATGCTTGCAGAAGTGCTGTCAAATTTTGGAAATCCCTGAAACCTGTGATCAGGAACAGATTCGCCGAGCTTATTTACATCTCGCGAAAAATACCACCCGGATAATCCAAATGGCAACTTACAGAAATTTCAGGAAGTTGATCAAGCGTTTCGCACTTTGATTCAGAAAAAGGCGAGAGAGCGTTGGGACGTTGAAGACCAATACAGCATGAGCGAAGAGCAAGATACTCCTGACATCAAACACACTGCGCCTCAACACCGGCAATATTTATCCAATGAAGGAGTTGGTTCTGGAACACCCTTTCAACGCGAGAAACAGTACAGGCAAATGCGCGTCATGAACGCGGCGGACAATGTCCTCAAGCATCGAATTGCCAAAGTTACAGCTGAGGAAAATTCACTTGTTGAAAAGAAAGTTCCGCAAAACATAAAATTAAAACCAAGTATTTTTTTTCAAACAGTACACATGTCTGAAATTCTAATTGGTATTTCTTTTTAGATATGGTTTTGATCGGTTAGTTGAAGACTTGATTCAAGAATCGATGTCCAAGGGCGAGTTCAGCAATCTTTCCGGTTCCGGCAAACCGCTGAAAACCCACTCGGACGTAAACCCATACGTGGACTTTGTGACACACAAGATCAATCAAGTGTTGATCGACAATGGATTTACACCCGAGTGGATAACGCTGCAAAAGGAGATACGAGAGGAGATTGACAAGTTCAGGCAGGAATTAGCCACGGAGAGAGCCAATTTCGGCCCGCTTCCGCTCAACGAGTACGACCTGGTTGAATGGGAGTACACCATTCAGAAGTTTACCAAAGATATTATCGCAATTAACAAAAATTGACAAATTCAATCTGGTCGTGCCAATCTTGAACAAGCAAATGACCCAGATCGAACTCAAGCGGGAAGCAGACACGACGCTCAAACATGCCCGACCAGCCGATTCTAAACGGATCAAAAGGCAGGAAAACGCAAGTAGTAAAGCCGAGAATCAACAAGAACACAAAAATTTATTCAGTTTGTTAGAAGCCTACTTCAAAATGTAAATAGTTGGACATTCAGGACCATTGGATCTTGTTGTCGGAGCCAAGCCGCGCTTTACCAGTAGCGAGTAAACGCAGTGCGTTCGTGAAGGCGCGATGTTCAGCTGGACGCAGACGATCCTGCAATGTCTCCTCTGTGTCACCCACCAAGATCGGCACTGCTTCTTGCACAATAATCGCGCCTGAATCGATATCCGCCTGCAATTATAACTATTTAGTTATTGTATCTAGCGGAATAAATTGATTATACTATTCGTTGATTGCAATTGCATTACCTCGACGAAATGCACAGTGCATCCGGTAACTCTCACTCCCGCTTCAAGGGCTTGTTTGGCTCCGTGTGTTCCCTTAAAAGTGGCAGCAACGCGGGGTGAACATTGATCATCTTACCGTGCCACAAATTCGTAAATTTCTCAGTGAGGACACGCATAAATCCAGCCAGGCATATAAAGTCCACTTGGGCGTTCATTAACGCCGCCTGCATTGCCATATCGCACTCCTCCCTTGATCCGTAATTCTTTAAGCTGATAACCTATAGAAACAATATTCCTGCATCATATAATTTGATTATTTAATGAAAATGTACCTTTGTCGGGATTCCAGCGCGTTGTGCTCGTTGTAAACCTTCAACGCCATCTTTGTTCGAAATAACCAGCGCTATTTCTGCTCCCATGTGCTGCGCCGGATCTTGTGTAGCATCGATCAGTGCCTGCAGATTGGTACCACTTCCGGAAATTAATACGCCAACGCGTTTCTTGCTTCCAGAATGCATTTTTACTACGTGCGGGACATGTTGCTTCATTAGTGGTTCCCAAGCATCCCCAAAGTTGTCCACGATGACGTCGGGTGTACCCGCAGGACGTGCAAACACGCTGCCGATAACAGTCGCACCATGATGTTTCAGCATGGTGAGGAATTCGGCCTCATCGGATTTGTTCACGATGAGAATACCGCCAATCCCGCAGTTGAAAGTGCGGAGTAATTCATCCTGATTAACACCTCCAGCAGTCGCCAACCATGGGAATACGGCAGGTATCTTCCATTTCAGTGCATCAAGTCGAACTCCCAATTGAGGTGTAAGGACACGTGGAATGTTCTCGGTGAGACCACCACCCGTAATATGTGCGAATGCCTTAACTTTACCTGTACGCACCGCGGGTACCACTGCTTTGATGTAGATCTGTGTGGGTGTGAGTAGTTCCTCCCCGAAAGATTTACCAGTTGCACTGAAAGGCGCTTTGTCTTTGTAGTTCACACCAGCGACTTTCATAATCTTTCTGACTAAGCTGAATCCATTACTATGCACGCCCGACGACGGTAGTGCAATGACTGTGTCCCCGGAGTGATCTTGTCGATGTGCGGCATTAGATTGGTGCGCTCCACTGCGCCAACTGCAAATCCGGCGACGTCGTAGTCACCTGGCGGGTACATATCAGGCATTTCAGCGGTTTCGCCACCAACAAGCGCACAGCCAGCCTGGCGGCAACCTTCGGCAACGCCGGTGACCACTTGCTTAGCAACTTGGACATCCAGAGACCCGCATGCGTAATAATCAAGGAAGAATAAAGGTTCAGCACCATGGGCGAGTACATCATTAACGCACATCGCTACAAGATCAATGCCGATTGTATCGTGAATGCCCATTTCCTGGGCAATCTTTAATTTAGTACCAACTCCATCAGTACCAGATACAAGCAATGGATCCTTATAACCCGCTAATTTCGTATCAAAGAGACCTCCGAATCCGCCCAAACCTCCCATGACGCCAGCCCGATTCGTAGACTTAGCACACGGTTTAATATGATCCACCAACTCATTTCCAGCCGTGATGTCTACACCGGACGCTTTGTATGTTAGTTTACCACTGCTGAGGATGGCCTTGGCGATACCTTTGTGTGCAATATCAGTGCGGTGCTGTTCGCCGTCGAATCGAATGATTGAACAAGCCGTAGTTGCCTTTGCCGCGGCCATTGTAAGTTGAGGGGCCATTGCAACCGCAATCAAAACCCTTCCACCATTAGTCACCACCTTACCGTCTTTAATAGCAGTACCACAATGAAAACAACATGATCTTTCATTGTATCCACCTGCTCAATCCCACTGATGACCTGACCCTTAGATGAACTCTCAGGGTACCCTCGTGAAGCCATCACCACACCAACAGCGGAGACATTCTGCTTCCAGCGAAGATCAACCGCCGATAATTTACCAGTACAACATGAGTGCATCACTTCAAAGAAATCACTCTCCAACAAGGGTAGTATCACTTCCGTTTCGGGGTCACCAAAGCGGCAATTAAACTCTAGTACTTTCGGTCCATCCGGGGTTAACATCAACCCCGCGTACAACACCCCGACGAATTTTAAATTCTCCTTTGAAGCCCATCCATGGTGCGTTGCAGCACGACCTCCTGTACGTATTTCAATTGGTCTTGGTTCAAGAGCGGACATGGACAGTACGCGCCCATTCCGCCCGTGTTCGGTCCTTGATCGTTATTAAAAATGCGTTTGTGATCTTGAGCGGGTAGCATCGCTTTGATAGTCTTTCCGTCCGTAAAAGCAAGAACCGAAACCTCTTCACCTTGAAGGAGTTCTTCGACAACGACAACTTCCCCAGCAACTCCAAACTTTTTATCTGTGAGAATGAAGTCCACAGCATCGCAGGCTTCTTTCTTGTCGGCGGCAACAACGACACCTTTGCCCGCCGCCAAGCCACTGGCTTTACCACCAACGCGGGGAATGGTGCACTAAATAAATTAGTTATAACATAATATAAGTTCGTTTTAAAAATGTTGTTCAAATATTGTACCTGTTTATGAAATCTTTCGCTTCTTTTGCATTTGTGAAAGCTTTCCATCTGGCTGTAGGAATATTGTGGCGATCCATAAAGGCCTTCGACCAGTCCTTATCGGATTCGATTTTAGCCGCGTCTTTTCCGGACCAAAACCATGATTCCATTTTTGCTTAGGACATTAGCTATACCATTCGCGAGGGATCTTCGGGACCAACTGCCACCACGGTGATCTTGTTATTTATGCACCATTTTGCAACTTCCTACCCACGCAACAATTAACAATTAAAAAGTATGCATATGTAATTATAGTCGGTATAGTATTATACTTACTTCAAAGTTTTTGATATCCAATGGCACATTTTCGGTTTTCGGCAATTGCGCAATGGCAAAGCTCCCGGGGGCGGCGTAAATATTCTTGACCTTTTCACTGCGCGATATACACCAGGCGATCGCATGTTCCCTGCCGCCGCCGCCAATAATCAGTACGTTTGCAGACATTTCTCTTAAAATGTAAAAAATTACTTTATGTAATTTATGAATTAATGCAACGTGCGAGCGTTTGCAATCGCGCTGTCGTCAGCTGAAAGGATCGAATGTTGTGGCATTCAATTTCTATATAATAGCCGCATCAATGTTAAGCCGGCTAATCAGTTCAAATGGCGCAAGTAAAAGGTCGGATGTCAGCGTAACAACAAGATAAAAGAATTGTAGAAAACATTGCGTAACCAAATCCAAAGCAACAAATAAGCATCACGTCACGGAAATTGTTGTTAAGCAACTGTTTCTCATGAAGAAAACGTCTTTTACTGATATTTTACATACTTTCGAGTGCTGATAGGTAATATCATTTAGGTCATGAATAGAACCATTCACTATTCATAAATGCAGCAAGGCAAAACCGTTTGATATGGCGTGCGCTTAACCTATACAATTATTTTAGAAAATAATTGAATAAAACGGTTCATTTATTCACTTTACTAATTAACTAATTAATGAGAAAAATACAGTTACATATACTATGTATATGCTTGATTTTTGCTCATAAAACTAAAAGCAACCTACCGGTTTCGAAGATTGTAATTAAGGCACCAAACCACCTGTGAACGGAATAAGTCCGTGCACGCTATTTACAAATAAACAACATTATAAAGAAGAGAATCCAAGTCCCTCTTGCACACAATTTATTTTGTATTAAAAAACTAAATGTAGTCGAAGCATGCGCACAAACTGGTAGAATCAGGTACATATGTCCGACTAGTACAACCACGACTAGAACAGGATGGAGTGAAAACAGGTACGACATCCCTGCCGAATGTCAAAATTCCTTAATATTCTTCGTGGAGTTAATAGGTAGCGACAATCGCCTGTAAGTATGGTAGAAGCAACAATAAATACCGCAAAACCAAAGGTAAGTATCAAATTACTCTCATACAGTCACGATTCTATGTGATATTTGATAAATTCTGTTCGATTTTAGGTTAAAGTCACGAATGAAAGACCCCGTGAAAAACCAAAATCGATTTATTCATGGACTGTGAACGACGTGCAGAAGTGGTTACGCAGACACTGTGAAGATCTGTTTCAGCAATACAATTACCTCTTTCTTAAGAATCATATAACCGGCAGAACATTGCTGAGAATCAATGACAATTCACTCTTAAGATTAGGTGTAAAAGAGCAGAACCATCGAGGTGCAATCTGCAGGAGATTGTGAAGCTTAAACTCAAAACTGACATCATGGAAATCCGTGATTTACAATACAAAACAAGAATGTGCAACATCTTGATTTGAACTCATTAATTTAGGCCTTAATAGTGTTGTGATTATTAATTAATAGACATTAACAATAAATTTTTAACAAAACTTTATCACAGGTTGACAAAATCATATTAATACTTGAATTAATGCATGCTAACCTATTGCATGATAAGTATTCTTGGCAGCACCATCCGATTTTACAAATTTTTAAAGTTTAATAATAATTCATCTCCCATTCTTCTATTGTTTCATCTGGGGTAAGTGAGGAATCTGAAAAAGATGCTTCTGTTCAGTGTACTGATGGTTATTATTTATTAAATTATTTTATGCACCATTATCCCCAAAATACTCAGCATTATTCTCAAGATCAGGGCATGCCAAGGTAGATTTAAACTTTTGCTCATTGGATTGGCCTGCAGAAACCATTTGGTGGAAAACGGTTATTTGTCGGATCTATTTGAATTTGAATATTGATTTACCTACAATGAAAACAGGTATTTCAGTCTAAGTTAATCATGTTCTTACGTGTAATGTTTTTTGCATCAACGCCTGCAGTTCTGTTGCTAACTGTAGGATGATGTGATATTGTAGGAGGTGAAATCTGTCAAAATTATTGCTACATCTGATAGAATCATAAACGTTAGGAGTCTGGGCATTTCCGGCGAAACACTAGTTTTCTCCATGTCCTCCCTTTCTTGCTTCAAGAACTTGTTTGTTACACCAATAGTTGTGTGATCTCTGCAATTCCTCTATATCAATAAATTCGGGCTCAATTTTAGTTCGACCGTGTAATTGCTGACGAGGTACTGTTAAGTTATTTTGAGCATTGATTTTTCCAGTTCTACCATTAATATTTCAAGCGACGGGTTCTTTTAATTAGAAGATTATTTTCATCATGGCAAAATTGTGAATCATTTTGTGCCTCATCAATATCTTCAAATGTATCAACACTTGATAAATCAGATACATCTAACTCCAAATCTTCTCGTGGATTTATCACCACTAACTTGAAATGTTCGGGTTTTCTTCTGTTACTCGTTCAAATTTATACGACTTTACATACTCAAGTCTGTGAACGCACATAAGCTTCAAATTTTGACTTAAAACAAAATCAAAATAAATTATCCATACCGTTGTGCTTCTCGCTTAACGTATACTTGATGTACCAACGAATACAGCGGCCATTTGCAAAGCTGCTGCTTATCATCTCCATATACCTTTGTATTTCGTAGATATCGTCTCCGATTGTAACGAAGTTGTTCAAGGACTTCAGCCTGTGTTCGCCGATAGCCCTCTTTCAGCATTGCCTCCGTCAACTCTTTCAACGCGCGCTCGTTGTGATTGGAGAAGCCTAAAATCTTTTGAAAACTTGGGCTGCGCCAGTACTCGACCAAGAACGCGTTTTCATCATCTCCGAAACACGTGAATTGGATTTGTTTTGACTTTGCAGTCATTGCTATTTTTAACAAAATAAAATATTTTGTTGTAAAACTGTAAACGTATTTCTACTTTGGCTTTTCGTACTTGACAGTATTAAAATTATAAAGACAGACTTTTGACAATAATACTACAAAAGTAAAGAGTTGTCCTGACAACTTGTTTTTCTTTGTTTTATAGTAGTTGTAGGGTTATATATTTAAAGAGTGCAATTATTTTATGAAAATGCAACAATGTCAAAATATCGCGTTTTCAAAGTTTTTCGCCTTAATTTTTTGGGAAAACCTGATTTTTCATTGAGCAACTGGTTTTAAACCATAAACCAGTTAATTACACCTAAAAATTTGAGATATTTCCAGTTGATAGGATCCATCATCGTATTTATTAAATAGGATTTATTAAATCACAAATGGAAGATTACTAAAAAGATTTCGGAATTAATATAGACACAATTTCAGGCGTGAATATTATGTTATTGAAAATAAAACAATTGCATATCACATTGCGATTAAATACAGCAAATAAATAAATAATAACAAAAATAAATTAGTTAAATAAATAAAGTACAAACACGTGGGAATTTTGGCATCAAATTAAGTTAAAACATGCCGCACAACGCCCTGGAATGTTTGACAAAAGTCTAACTCTCTAGTTACTCGGGCGACCCGCGGACTCCTCCTCGTTTCAATGACGAGCTTCTCCTCCTCGTCATCATCCTCGTCTTCATCGTCGTCCGCCTGGGCTTCTTCATCGTCCTCGTCATTTTCAATAACTACATTGGGCTCCAAAATATCGCCGTCCACACTGCCGACTTCGATGTCTTTCTCTGAGTTTTTATCGGCGTCATCTTCATCAATGGCAATGTCATCGTCGGTCTTATCGTCTACATCGTCTTTATTCTCAACTTTTCGACGACAACTTCTGGTTGGGACTCGTCCTCGTCCATTAACATATACTTGCGGATGCCTTTCTCCAACATGTTGCGTAGTTTCTTGCTGTCTTTAATTACGTCAGCGTCTTCGGAAGCGCTACGCTTACGCTTGACACCGGCGCTGATACCAAACTTCATGTCGATGAGATCTTGATTGCCCGGATAGGCAAGTCTTTGTAGAACTCCACCCAACATTGGTAGCATTGTCACCATTTGAGTGCCAATAACACGATCAAACTCTAAACGTTGCTTTTCGATTTCAATGTGCTGCTTGGCTAATTCCAGGTTTTGCTTCTGAAGTTCAATTACTTCTTTCAGAAGGCTGTTTGCAGCTACTGAGAAAAAAAAGGATTTTTAAAATTATAATCATTTTTAAAGCGGTAAAAACTTACAATCGGTTTGTTGATTAGTCCCAATAACAGTCTGCATGCGATTAGGGGCGTTTTATCGCCATGGTTGACGTTGTTCAATATCAGTAAAGGAAAAGGTATGCCTCCCTTTTGGCCGGCAATCTGGCCGTTCTGCGTGACTTGTGAAGTAGGAAGTTGAATAGTAGGTACCATTGTGTTGGGCTTGAGCGCTGGCTGAATCGGAATGTGGGTTTTCAGAGTAGCCTGTGCGTTCACCGGCGCCTGCACCCGAAACTGTTGCACTGGCTGCGCTTGCAACGATGATGTTTTCTTCACTTGAATACTACCCTGTTGAATCGGAGGCAAAGGCTTAGCATTAGACACAATCGGTACCGCAGGCGATGCTGGCCCTTGCGATGCATCATCATCATATTCCGAACTGCAACAATAAGTGTTAATTATTTATTTATTAGATTTTAGAAAAACACATTTAACTGTTTCAAAATACTCACTTTACTGATTCATTTGTAGCCCAGGAATCGTTATCATCAATATCAATGTCATCGATTTCCTGTTTGACTTTAATATCCTCGAACTTCGTCTCCATTTGCTCTTCCAAGATTCGATCAGTGAGCTTGCGTGGATATTCCTTGGATAAAATTTCATCCATCGCCTTGAAATGCGGCCAGTCGGGGTCCACGGTACCGATGCCCGTGCCACTCGACATGCTCCGCTTGATGCGATGGTAAAGACACTTCAAATTACGAATGCGCGTTTTGATCTCGTCCGGAGTCCTGTAGAAACCGCGTTGTTGCATGTTGGCAGCTAGCAGACGCATCACGGGTGCCTTGCGGTGTGTAAGAAATAGCTTGTTCTGGATGGATGGGCTGCCCCAGAGCTGGATGAGCAATCGGGTTTCATCCTCGCGAAAATTTGCAGTGCGCTTCTTTTGGATGGTGCGCATCGTTTGATCTAACTGTGGAAGAGAACAATTAAAATTCATTAAAATTTATATTGCATATATTATAAATAATAAATAAAAATAACAAATATGAATTATGAATGCCATTTTTATGATTTTCTATTTATTAATAGTCGGCTTTATGCATAATACACTGGTTACTCTAAAATCAATCAACTTATTATGAAAAATTCATTAAAAATTCTTTCTATATAAAATTCTGCAGGTAATTGTGTGCAATGACCTGCGAAGATTTAATTTCATTAAAATTAATTGTCACCGGCAGTAATCGTAATTAATATTTTAATTGGAAATGTAAGTTTGTTTGTGCATTTGTGTTGCTTTCCACGAAAAATCACTAAACCAATTTTTCAAAAATTCTAGCAAAATTTTTAGGAAATTTTTGAACTATGAACAAAACAAATTTAACATAATCAAACATAACATAAGTTTTTGGCAAAAATATAATTTGCGGGATCTAAAATACAGGATAAAAGTTGTTATGGAGATCCCAATATGCATTATCAGCATTTTGGTTTCTTTAAAGTAAAATTAAAACCAGAAACCAGAAGTAATTAATTAACTAGGCGCCATTTTATTAAATTCTACGCGGGCGTACCGAACAAAGGTCAGTACTCAATAAATAATTCAGTATACCGTTCGAAAATATTGAATTAACCAGAAAAGCTTCAATAATTGTGCATTGCAAGTCCGTGACATCAATAAAATGAGTACCCTACATCTGATCAACGACGTTGCAATTCTCACGTGTATTGTCGCATGAAAAATACATATTTTATAACCATTTATGCAAGTGTAGTTATTGTATGTTATTGCGTCATATCTGCACTCGGCATTAAGATAATTTTAAAGCTTTAAAGTGACGAAAATCTACAAAATATAACATGAAAAGTTTTGAAAATTTTAGAAACAATTTTATTATGTGAAAATTGTAACTTGTACTATTAAAACATATATCAAAATCAGTTTCTTACAACTAGACCAGAAAAATACACCCGAAGTAAAAAGATTGTTCATGTGTTAGGGACTAGTTGTGATTTATACACATCGTAGACGCAAAAATGAAAGCGATGTGCGGTTATTGAGGGGTGCCAAGGAAACGCTCATAAAATGCACCAGGCGTTTGTGATTAGATGTGCTTCAAATGTTAGTGTGGTTTCATCTCAATGTTTTAAACGTTTACAATAAAATGCATTAAAGGACATTAACCATTAGAAGAACATGAAGAAAAGGAGAAATTTTATAAAATGGTACTTATAAATGTTGCATAATATTATCACCACAACCCAAGTATTTTTATAAAATTGTAGTAGTTCTCTGAAACATGTTAAAAACATGTGCAACGCAATAATCATTCCTGGAGTTATGAAGTTATTCCCGGAATAAACTAAATAGATTCTTCTAATGCGAGGTATTACGCCAATTAACTTTATCTCAATGCTTGTAAAAGTTGCTTGATTGTTATGATTATTTTCTTGTACAATCATGCATGGAATAAGAACAAAATCGCAAACAATGTAATGTAATTCTTGTTTAAATCAAGACTTATCGGAATTATCCTTTTATTAAGTATCCAGTAAAGTAGGTACATATTTTGATAAATGCTGAAAACTAATAGGAATATAAATAAACTTTTCAAACCTGCTGATAATGATTAATAGAATAATAGAATTTTTATCAAAATGAGAAATCCTTCGAGTGAAGGCATGCGTTTATTTTATTGGTAACCAATAACACCGAAAGCAAATAAGTGCCAGTGCATGACGCACACAAAAGCAACGATGATGACAACGTGCGCAACATGAGAACGCGCGCGAAAAATCAATATTCGCGCGTTGCGCTGAGAGCACTTTCCACGCCCGACACACGCTCCAGCCTGCGCATTCAACGCCGATCGCAAACCAAACTCGACCACCACACGAAACCACCACCGGAGATCGTCATCGCGCATTTCAGCAATCCCGCGACTATCGCAAAATCGCATGCATGCAGAGAAAATCTGTACACACCGAAAATCCAACAAGAACTCACATTAGACTGCATGGCGCCGGCGAGAGTCTGTCTGGTCCAACAGCCGCCAAAATTCAAACCACCACTCGCTTGTTCCTCCTCCTCCAACGCTTCGCAGCACGTGAAAGTCAGAGCGTCAGAGGCAACTTGTACTCGCACTCGGGCTTAGTCGAACGCAGGATGATCATTACCGGCACTCGCGCGAATTAATCGTCGATCGAGAAATGCACGAAAAGACGATTCGAGATTGATGGTGTAACTATAAGGGCTCGGTGGCGAGCGGTCGCCGGCGGTCGCGCTCAGTCTGGAAAAGCACGCAACCTACTGAAGCACGTACTGAACCGGCCGACTTGTGACTGAACCATCATGCTGATGAAGGATCGATAGCGTGCAAACGCACGTGTATGTCATGCGCAGATTACCGTACACTTAAGCTACGCTATGGGGCTGGCGGCGCGCGGCGCACACGAGTGGAGAGTATGTGTGTGCGTGCGCGCCGCCGAATGGGGAAGGCAGGAGGCTCACACGGCATCGCGCGCACGAGCGCGTTGTCCTTCCGAGCTTACAAAACTCTCACCCCACGGTGCCCGAGCTTCTCGCTCGCGCACCTTGATAATATGACTCACCATTGTTTGCTTGCTTTGTACGACATGGCCGAGTGACTGTCCCGCGAGGGGACTGCGGGCACGCTCTGCATCTACGCTTCCTATGGACTGGGATTTGGCGCGCACAATCACACACTTATATTCGATAATTTGACTCATCTTTCGCGAAATACACGGGTTAAAAAGCCGGTGAGGCTGGCCGAAATGTACGAGTTGGTAAATTTGATTGTTGTCAATTAATTTATTTACGCGTGACACTTTTGAATAGCATAATTACATTTTGTTTGTACAGTTTTAACAAACTACTACGCATCATTGTTAAATCGGGTGAGTTTGTTCAATAAGTAAGTAAATTACCAACGATAAAAATAACTGCAACATACGCAATTTAAATATTGTCAAATTTGTTTATTTATTAGAGTTTTCCTTGCTAAATGTATGAAATTGATATACAAATTTACAAATGTTTAATTATAGCGTGTAATAATTTGAACATATATATTTTGTAATTTCGAATTGTAAACTGTTGTTTAAAACCTTCTCACAGATTACACGTCATTGTATAATTATTAAACTTACCAAAAATTGCGCTACATCTCCTAACTATTACTGTACGCATTTTTTTCTTGAAATATTAACTGAAAATGCAGAAAATTGAAGAGACAATCATTGAACATCGTTTTATTTTGTTTGCTTATATTAAAATAACATATCGCAATAAAAATTTCTTAAATTCTCTTTAATAATCTAGGTAGTTACTCTACGTATACTCTTTCTTAATTATTTTATTAGTAGCTACCTGAAAATTGCAATAATTGTCAATTCAAGGCTTAATATTCGTAAAATGTATCACATTTTAGAATAATTGTTGAATTTATATTGCAATATAGAAAATTTATTGTTTTCTCGTACATTTTCAGAAATTAAAATTTAAGAAAAATAAATTATTTATCTTTAAATCAAGTTTTCATTTGTTTATATTACAAAGATCAACAATAATTACCTTGTTAAAATTTAGTGAATTAAATTTTCTATTTTGCTACAAATCTTTCTAGCTTTTTGAAACAGAAAAATGCTTACCAATACTACCTATTTTCTTACGCTTATTTTTTAATGTTATCTAAAAATGATAAAACTGCAATTCAGTATCTAACTAGTGCAAATGTGCAACACATTTTTATGCATTAAAATTAAAAAAATAAAAATATCAATCTTTAAATGCCAATTTGTTTATATTTGTAAAATGAACAAAAATTACCCTTTTACAATCTAATAATTAAATTTTATATTAATTGAAACACTTATCTTTCCCGCGTTGTCATAGATTTCAACTTCTTACAACTTCCATTCGGTTATATTTATATTGTGTCCACATTAGATCCGTGTTGGTTTTTTTTTCCCGTGTGTGCTTTACTTCTGCTCTAGGTAGCCATCCATTATTCAATTGTTATGCTCATGTGCGTGCATATGCAACGGCGCGGCGCACAGCTGTTGGGGGTTGAGTCGCAAGCTGTATTGTTTGCCCTAGTTGCACCCCGACCCGATATACCACCGATCGGGAGTGCAACGACTCGCCGGCCGCCGTACGTTACCGTCGCCGTGATGCCGGTTGGCGCCAATTTCGCGCCGCGTTAAAATTCTACCCGTTCGTTGGGCTGGGGCGAGCGCGATGGGAAACTCGAAACCTGAGAGAAAGTCTATTTGAATATAAGTGGAAGTAGTTGAACGGTGGAAGTAACGTTTCGAACTTGATACCAAACGAACCCCTTCAAAAAGTGAATGAAGAAGCTTGATGTAGATGCGTTTAAGTTTGCAATTTTGGTGTAAATGGTACATTTACCAATAGTTTTATATTATTTTATAGTATTTAGTATGTTTTCTATTTCATAGTTATTATAATTTAGGAAATATTAAAAGCAAAATATGAAACATTCTTCATGAACCTAAATTGATGCGAATTTAAAGTTACTTTGAATATAATTTGGGTTGATTTTTAATAAGAGTTGTATTTGTTTATATCGCGACAGTGACGTCCAAAAAGCTTACCACATTGGTAAAATTATTTGAAAAATCAATCGGAAAATAAATTTCAGGAATATTGATTGACACTGGCGTGAGAACTAAAGTTTCTTGTGTATTTAGTTCTTGTGTATTAAACTTTTTCGTATAATTTATTGGAATTGGAAATGCGTACCATTTGGCAAATATAGTGTACTAAAAAATAAGTGTCAGTCTTATAACCATTGTGTTTTGCAAATCAGTAAAATATCAGTATTTAAAAGCATACACAAAAATAAAAGAATGTACTGACGCAAGCTCTTAAACTCTATAAGCTGGCTTATCAGATAAAAGAGTGACGATTGTTTATGTGATCTTCTATTTTGTGCAATTATACTGTTTGTGTTAATGCAATGATCGGTTAATGGCTTAGTTTAGTACGAATTTACAGCAGAAACTAATCACATTTTGTCAATTTTATAAAAGAAACATTTTTCTACGGCATAATTTCATGATTAGACCACTAATCACTTCCGGAAACATTTTAAGAGTATAGGTACATTAAGTCAATACAACATAACAAAAACATTTATAATTGTTTTCAATCAGTTTTACGGTAAAATATGAAAACAAAACAATTAGATTTTGGTGAGCCATTCCCGCATCCGTATGAGAGCATCATCGGCGGCGGTGCTCATCATCCCTTCGGAAGAATGCGGGGCTCGTTGGCGAGGATGATGCAAGCTTCCTCTAAGCAACGCACCACCTCGCGTATCCGCGCACGCAGCTGATGCCGGCTGAGCAGATGCCGTTCGAATTGGCGCGTGGTAAGGATCAGCACCGGCGCGTGCAGCTCGTACAGCGTCACACCTGAAAGCACGCGAGACGTCAACGAAGCACAACACAACATACCACGCAAAAGTGCGATTGCTTTGTGCCACCCGGCCAACACCGACGATTCATTCACAAAGTGCACACAAAAGCGCACACAAAGCGCCCGTCAACGGTGGCACGCGCCAAACTTGTGATTTATTTACGCTTTTATCAATTCATCGATACAAACATCGGGAAGCAATACTGGAAATCAGCTGAGCTGAACTTCAATTTGATTGCCTGTATAATTACCTCTGATTCGTGTGTAGCCCGGTTCGATAACATCGAAAATCTTCAAAATCTCTTTGCAAATCTCCATTTTCCGGCGCAATTCTTCATCGGACATTTCATGTATAAGATACCCATTGATTTTCCCATACAATTGGCTCAAATTCAATTTCACCTCAAGATTTAAATAATGATTCGGATGCAGGACATTTCGGTACTTCTCCAGGAGGCTTTCCATCGCGCTGATATTGTTCGAATCAATTTCGTCCAATTCGCTTGATATCCTAGAAATTTGCGAGTATGTGAGTATGGAATAGTATGAAATAAGTAAAAAGTAAAACTAGGCCGCGTTTCCTTTCAAAGCAATCGATATGACGCCCTGCAGTCGAGCAGCAGCAACCCGAGTGCAGTTTGCAATGCGGCGTCGGGCGCGTATTGCACCAAATTGGCGCGTTGGGTGGAAATCGTCATCCTGTCACCGTCTTACGGGTCTTACCGATTCGTGAGCAGTTCCATGGCTTTCGCCGCAAGCGTATAGCCCGGACAGGCGGCTTTATTTTTGGCAGCTTTGTTACTGCAGCTCCACACTGCTTCGGGATTCAGCGGATCTTCGCTAAGGACCAACCCATCCTTGCACTTTGGACAGCGCAACGCACCGACGTAAGTGCCCAATTCGGTCTTGTCAGCGCAGCGCTGACAAGTGCAGGCGAAGAATTTATTTTCCAATAAATGTTCGCGTCTTTTCAAAGTACTCTGAAAACAGATTTATATGATTATCTTTAAACTCACGCATGCGCAATCTACACACACACCTGTAAAGTATAAGCGTAGCTTAATGTAATTGCTTGATTTGTTCGTATGGTAGTCGATGCCCGCACTGATAACTTATAATCCTGTTCCTCGTCGCAATGCGATGTGTTTGGTACGCAGTTGTGCGACATGAGAAACGCTGACGGATACAATCCGCGAATGTTGATGCCTTGTTGACCAATCTCGAACGCGTTGACTTCCAGCACACCACACATGCTGTGCACTTGCTCTTCAGTGTATTCCAGCTTCCAGTCTTTGACGACGCGATCGACAATCGTTTGGTTTAAGTTCCACACCTCCGGAATGTTGCGTCGAATGTTGTCGTGGTTCTCCATTGCCATTAGCTTTTGTATCCGAGCGGATCGGTTTCCTGCAGGAGAAAACATCGCAGCGGTACGATGCAGTAGAAGTTGACGCGCAGTTTGTCAAAATCGGTGTAGTCCAGAAAGTCGCCGGACTTACACTCCTGTAGGAGCTTACATTCGCGCTTTGTGTGGCCGTAGTGCGTCCATAGGGACTTGCACTGGTCTGAGCATAAGGGCCATTGGCAGGATTTGCATCTGTAATCGAATTAAAGCAATTAATCCGGGTGTGATGAAAGTTTGTGTTACTGGCGAGGTGCCAGAGTTGTTTCGAACATGAATTACAATCTCCCATCTCGACACTTGTAATTTATTCAGTTTTAATTCAGCGGGTAATTAGAATTTCATTCAAATTTCACATTAGAAAGGACTCTGCGATTTTCTTAGCGTAGATTTATATAAAACTAATTACGCGTGTAAAATTTTCTTTAAATTTTGCCATTTTTGGCTTCAGTGTTGAGAAAAATTGAATTTTCAGGTTGATTACATATCAAATGTCAAAGCTAACATGTAAAAAGCTTGTTGCTGTCATTCGCAATATTTAAAACATAGCAGAGTTTATTAGTGTGGTGCCAGTGACGACACAAGTTGTTCACACTTAAAACTACATTAAATTGATTTATAGCTGTAAATAAATGCAAATACCTCACGTATGGTTCATGTTCCGCGATTGATGATAACAGGCGATGCATTGGACGCGACAATCCGTGCAGGGCCCGACCACCAACGGTTTCTCGCTTAAAATAACATCGCCTGGGCTGAGGTCCTTGGCGGCGACCATGTACCTAAAACGAGAAGCTTAGAAACAAAGGCACCGCGCGCATTTCAACACTTTCCCAACTTTTCCGATTGACACACGCAGAAAGTAAATATTTAAAAATCGTAATTAACTGATGAAATCCAGTCGCAGGCCGTTTATCTGCAGATTCCCGGTAATTCGAAGGAATTGTTAAGTTTGTTCGCGATTTAAAGCGTAATATTTAAAACAAGATGCGATTAGAGTTGGCTGCGCGCCAGGCGCTTTCAGTAGACATCGTTCTTTTTGTTGCGTGGCTTTTTCTCTCATTGCTCCAGCACGCCGCATGGAGCCTTTCGCCTGTTTCCGCGTCGAGGTGGAATTCTGGCGCGTTGGCGTCGCCACTTGAACCCGTCGCAGTAATTGCAACAGCTATCAATCGTAACGAATCGTTACAAATATATCGATGTTTGTTGGCCTGCTTTGAGTTTTATTTATGATGTTTGAATATGTACACTCTGCGAATTGCGCATGTTTCACCAATTACTAGTTTATACACAACATGTTTTACCTTCCCATCACTTTTGACGTTCTCACCAGAAATGTCTTCCCATCTGAAAACTGCTTTGATATCTCATCCATCCCGTCTTCTGATATGTCTTTGATTTTATTATTCTTGGCTGTATCGCTGTTCTCTTTCGGATGGTGGAAATGCTTCTTTGATTTCTGAAATTTTATTCTATAAATGCACTTGATTTATGCGTTTAGCGCGTAATTAGTATGTGATGTAGTGTTGTAGCTGAAAACAATAATCGTGAAGCGAGACTATAAACGCGTAGCCGAAGTTATACGCACGTTTGGCACACTTCAAACAAACAGAATTTATTTATATTTGCGAAATGTCTTCGTAAATCGGCGCAAGTAATAAAACTCTAGATGACCAGCACGTGCGGCTATAATTTTCCGGCCGGACTTTCGCACTTTTCGGTTTATTAATGATTGCGGAGTATGCTCGACGCGAAACTAACTTTCGCGCTTTTCGGGCGCTCATGTGCAGCCGCGCGTAAATCGTTATCCATTGGTCAATTTCAAACGATTTAGAAAAATCCAAGGATACTAATTCTACCTTTATGCGTTTGTAGAATCTATCTGTTCTAGTCTCAAGTGTAACATTTATCGTGAACAGAACGACATTTATACAAAATTTAAATTTAGACAAATTTATCCGTTGCGAAAGAGATTTAGACTTACTTTTTATTTTTGCCATGATTTCCTCTCGAAGTCATTTTCAATAATTGGAAATGCTATGCATGTATATCAAGAGAGTTTCTTCTTGCTGGGATTCATTCCTGAGTGCATTCCGAATGTTGTTACTGCTCACGCCGATGATTGTTCTTGCGTGTGGGCCATTCTTCGTTTACGTAACGACAGGATTGCGGCGCCGGCCGGCGGGTGTCTGTCGTGGGTGTATTCGCGATACTGAGAAAGGAAAGCGCGTGTCGCATCGTTCCAAACGTTGGACACCACTACGCAACGCCGCCGATCCTGAGTGCAGAATACGTGCACGCCACATCAACATAAATGAAGGCATCGCTATAATAATGTAATGTAATGTTTATTTTAAGACAAACCACAAAACGCCGACTTTACGAACGACACGCCTCGCATTCACCCGATTACAAATCGGCGGAGACTTTGTTGGGAAAAACGCGCTCCGCCAACGCATCCTCGGAATGCACACAAAAAAATACAGACGCATGGACGCTCGAACATCATAAATCTAACTGATCATCATGATCGTGATCTAACATGTGATATAAACATCATAATATTTATAAATCTTTCCTTTTTTAAATTGATGTGAAAATTTTGATTTTGCGGCGGTGATTAATGCGTGAGTCAATTGAGCGTGTTTAAATAAACCCATATCATTCAGATTTATGCATCATACATTTCCTCTCGTTCTCGTTCACGTTCTCGTTCAGTGAATATGTATATTTTCCCAAGGCGGATTTATTATTAGTCGGCGTTGATTGATCGCGTTCGGCGGCCCACGACTTTCCGTTATAAACGCACATCCTTCCATATGGAGTGCTCATAATTGCAGTCATGTGACGTATATGTTTGTTTTATTCACACTGGAAACAATATAAGTACTTGTTTATAAAATAACTACACAGTGATTTAATGCGCATCCACGCATAAGTTGTAAATTCAAAGATTAGTTTTCCACTATAGAGAACACCAGCACCATCTAGATTTTCCCGGTAGATCAGAATAAACTCGTCTGGTGATGGTTTCCTGCTCATGATGGAATGCGCGGCGCTGTGCCGAGAACAATTTGAAAGCGTTTTCAAATAGAAATAGCTCCCGTATAGCTGATAGGTCGGTCCGCCGCCTGCGCTAAATACACTTATATTTATATTTATAGGCAGCGGCGAAGCGCGCACCTCCACATCTGGGGCCCACGCCATTGCATCGAGCGCGTCATGCGCGTCTGATGTAGGATGCCGCTCATCAACACTCAACGAACGCACGCAATTATTATTCACTAATTAATTCGCTCTAGTCAGTGCGGTGCTGATGTGAGCGGAGGCAATGTCTGAGGAACACAAAGAGTCCAGGAAGTGCAACTTGTGCAGCGAGCCAGCTGAGTCTCTCTGTGCAGGATGTCACACAGTTGCTTATTGCAGCAAGGAGCATCAAAAAGCTGACTGGAAGATTCACAAAAAGGAATGCAAACCATATCAGGTGAGTGTAAATAACAAAATTAAATTATTTTACGAAATAAACATGAGGGTTATAGATTCTGACCGATGATATCTTGGGACGACATTTGGTAGCTACCAGAAATTTAAAACCCGGAGATGTGGTGCTAAAGGAAGCTCCATTGATTTGGGGACCCGCACAATTAACGATTCCGGTGTGTCTGGGATGCGGGAAGGCGCTTAATGAAGACAACCAGAAACCGTGTTTGAAATGTGGTTGGCCAATGTGCAGTGACATTTGCCAAAACTCGCCGGCACATATACCCGAATGTTCCTACACGGTTAACAGAGGGGATAAGGTGAGACATGTGAAAAGGTCAAGTCAATAAATAATATTATTATATCTACAGGTTACTATAAGCATCTTCAATGTGTTAAATCCCACCTATCAATGCATCACACCCTTGAGAATCTTGTATAACAAGCAATTCTTGCCGAATGTTTGGCAAAAATCCAAACACTGCAGTCACACTGTGAAGAACGTAAGAAAACACCAAAGTACGAAAATGATCGCCTCATGGTAGCCACTTTCATCCGACGTTTTTAAACTGGATGTCGACGATGACTTGATTTTGCGAATTTGCGGAATTGTGAATGTAAATGGCCATGAGGTACCCCTGTCAACCCCACCGAATGTGGCAATTTATCACAGTGCATCCATGTTTGAGCATAACTGTCGCGCAAATCTATCAAAAACTTTCACTGCAAACGGTGAGATATTGTTAACGGTAGGCAGTAAAGGTATCGCCAAAGGTGAACATCTCTCTATATGCTACACTGATCCACTTTGGGGTACCACCAATCGCAGACATCATCTTCACGAAAGCAAATTTTTCTGGTGCAATTGCTCCAGGTGTCAGGATGTTACCGAATTTGGTACTTACTTCAGTTGTATCAAATGCATGGATAAGTATGTCTCTGAAAAATTAACAGAATACGACACATATGAGATATTTTTGGATTTTCAGAAGTTGTTCCGGCATAGCAACACCAAAATCTTTCCTTACTCTAGATGATGAAGCTAACAGCAACTGGGAGTGTCAAAATGTCAAAAACTCGTTCAAAACGAAGAAGTTAATGATCTAAATGAAGATCTTGGTAAACGTTTGCAAGACATGCAGAAAAATTCAGTGCAGGCGGCGAAGATTTTTATTAGCAATGCGGCGAAACATGTGCCTGGAAATCACTTTTATATAACCGATGTAAAACTAGCAATGAGTGAGATGATCGGTCAAGAGTTCCGAGGTGGAATTGCCGATGTCAGCGAAGAAGAACTCTTACTCAAAATCAAAGTATGCAAAGAATTACTAAGTCTGGCGGAAATTCTGGCACCGGCTGAAAATCGTATTCGTGGTTCATTATTCTTCGAGATACACTCAGCAATAGCCGAGCTTGGCCAACGCAGAGGAAGTCAAGGTCACGAGGGTCCTGATTATTTATTGGAATCTCTCACGGTAAAATTGATTGTTTTTCGAAAGATTTTATCTTTAATTGTATATTTGCAGGAATCGAAAAGTATCTAGTGCAGGCAATCGAAGCACTCAAGCATGAATCACCTGTAATGCCGGAAGGAAAAATTTTGGAACAAGCGAAGATAAATCTGCGTGATATCAATGTTCTATTGGCAACTGTTCGAGTGACAGTTGGTGCGACGCCTGCGTAAAATGTCTATCGACAAATTTAGTCTTCAACTTTGTGAAACAAATTCCTCTCTGAAACACTTTTTATGGCTTATTTCTTATTGAACTGAAACAATCAATGGTTTTATAATATTTATTAATATGAAGAATGACATTCGAATTGTATTTATTAAATATTTCACTTTAATTCACGTTTTTGAATTATAACCTACCTTAGAATTTTTAAACTCACATGACTTTGCACACGTAGTTCAAACAATGACCGTTCCGAATGGAGGCGCCACTAGCGTTCGGTAGAACACATTCATCCATATACTGAAGGCAGTCTGGGCAACTTCGTAGCAGCGGTCTCTAGCTTCCTTTTCCGCTCCGACTTCACGAAGTAAGTTAGCGCTGCAATAAGTAATCGACGATCATCGAGTCCGTGATGCGAAATATCCATTAAGTATCAATCGCAAAACGGGCAGTGGTCTTCGGCACACTAGATTCTATATATATTTCTGGCGCAAAGTGCTGGGATTCTCGTGAAAATTGTGAAAACTTATGGTGTTATTGTTTTAGGTTACAATGGTGCAACGGTTAGTTTTCAGGCGACGTCTGTCGTACAACACAAAATCTAACAGAAGACGCATGTAAGTTTACTTATTCTTTACTACCTCTCTCTGCTCAATTCATTGTACGGCACGTACATTAGCTTTAAATGATGATTGTCTGGCTAGAGTACTGACCAACATGAGGACAAACCCCTTTCGTTCGTTATCAATTTACTGAACATTCACCTGTGCCCGCTCTCAAGTTCTGTGCTTCACATTGCTACATATATCTAATTCTATGTTGTGTTTTAGCGTGCGTACTCCTGGTGGCAAATTGGTATACCAGTACCTTAAGAAGACTAAGAAGGTACCCAGATGTGGACAATGCAAAGACAAACTGAGAGGCATTATCCCAGCAAGGCCCCAGGAACGGTCTCGCATGTGTCGCCGTAAGAAAACTGTAAAACGTGCGTATGGTGGTGTACTATGCCACAAATGTGTCAAAGAGAAGATTGTGCGTGCCTTCCTTTTGGAAGAACAGAAGATTGTAGTATCAGTCCTCAAGGCACAGAATGCTAAGGGTAAAGGCAAATAGATGTCTTAACGTTTTAAATATATCATAAAAAGAATTATGTAAAATGGTAACATTGTCTGCCATGTCCGCAATTATCCTTTATATTGAGGCATTTTCTAGATCAGCATGTGCTTAATTGAGGTTATTAAACGAGTTCATAACATTCAGTTTATTTTATTTACAGATGAGGACTGCATAAAATGGTTAGATTTGAGTGAAATTGCAGTTGCGGCTAATACATACAGTTGTTGTTTACATTCTATTTTATGTTATATTAAAATCTAACTCTTGTCATCTCGACTGTTGTCTTTTTATTTTGGTTTGAATTTGTATTTGAATGCATGTGGATTATAAAGTGTCAATTGTCAGTGTTTATAGTAATGCATGATTTATTTCATATATCACCATCAACATTTTCATATTTTAATTGATTCAAACTACTAACTTGGGATTTTGTTTTGTTTGGTTCTGAAAATGGAATTTGTTCCGTTCGTGAATTCCGATGTTATTCTTTCGCGGGTTAGTTCTTGAACTCGGCGCCAGGGCGCTGTACTTGCGCTTATTTGTGTTTTTTTCCATAAAATTGCAGTCCTCTCAGAATGCTACGGTACGTTGTATAAAAATAGTGAATTCTCGGTGGAGAAGGTGTTTATAGGTATTTATACTAGCATACATCATGTGCGAAATGAAATTTTGGGTAAGTTGGTGTGAAATATCACTCGTAGATGTCGCTGTGTGTATGCACATGCAGCGCAACCGAATATGGTCGATCGCATTGAGAAGCACGGCAGCGACAAGATGTCAGCCATGACATTCCAGACGATGCGTTCTTGTGTTTTCTAGCGCGAAGTGACTATTTGTGCAATCGTGAATGGTGATTTGTGCGTCGTAATCAACCCTACGGCACCCGGCGTCGGCCATGAAGACGATGATCCTGACGAATGTCGCCTCGGCCGCCAGTTACACGCAAGCGAGTAAGTACGAGTTTCTGATCTGTGATTGCGTCGTGCGCGGGACAATGCGGTCTCTTTGTTGTGAACGCGTCGTAGTTTCATAAACATTGAGAGAATTTGCGCGGATATGGATCTCGATTGGTGTTCGGGTTATGTTAGCGAGTGCAATCTGCCTGCGAACGGGATGTTCGTATGCACCTAGGTGGGCTGGCAGCAGCCGCGGCCTATTTGACGTACTCGCGTGACGTAAATTCGCAAGAAGCGTGCCAATGCATAGCTTCGTTGCAGCTTGTTTGCTTGGCTGGAGCACATGGCCGCAGTGTTTATTTATAACGATTCGCGAATACAATAGCTTGTCTCCAATTGTAATGCATAATTTGATATTGTTTTGTTTTGAACTGTTGCGCCCGCAACAAGGTCATCAATGCACGATGATGATGTTTAGGAGAGCATCTTGTATCAACCGATTCGAAAAAGTCGAGTATTCCGTGTAGTTTTCTTAGTATTTATGAATTGGTTTTACATCAAGTTGAAAGAAAAAAGTGTTTCTTACCACAACACCAACAGAGTCTATGCAAAAATAAACCTGGTCTCTTTTACCTGAAAGTAAACTAAGAACATTTCCATCTTCCCAAAGGTCATCGTTATGTTGTGTCATTATAGCATCTGGAGTTCATTTGTTGTGTTAAAGAAGAGTAAAAGTGTAACATGTATTTTTAAACTTTCTTTTGCTATTTGCGAACTAAAATTACCACAATTGTAATTTATATTATATGTAATTTTATGGAAACATCTATCTTAAAGGAAACTAGAGTGCATATACTTGTATACCAGCATTTTTATATTTTATACACTCGACTTTTGCAATCGACCTATTTTACACACTTCAGTCACAATATACATATGTAGGTGCCTAGTGCCTACTAATCAAGTATGGGCGGTGATTGAAAATACGTTTACGGGGTGGTAGGTCTTAACGATTACATCGCTATACTGTCTTTAAAACCAATAAACATCTTGCTTCATCATAACAAAGAAAAGAATTCTTATTTATGGGCTAACAGATATTTACAGATGCCAGTTTTAATTTTATGTATTTAAAACAGAAAAACTAGTTGAAGAAAAAGTGCCAAAAATAGGTAGTTTTGTGTGGTTTATGCATTTCGATGGATAATGGTTACATTCGGGTGGTAAAATGTATGTTGCACCAAGAAAATTAATTTTGTTTAAATTTAAATTTAATTTAATTTAAAGGAAATACATATAAATTCCATAATACTTTTGTTGAGAAAAACCTTCATTTGGTGTGTTTTCTTAAACTTTAAACAGATCTATAATCTAAAATGTGTTAAAACAAAACGTCAGCTTAATTATGTAAATCATGCATGCGAAAGTTTGAAACAATAAATCTGTTTAAGTCAGCTTAAATTCGTACTTTTAATCTCATCGTCACACTTTGTGTAAAATAAGATTCACACCAAATCGATTAGTTTTGGAGGATTAAATACACCTAGAAATGAATTTTTTCTCAATAATCTGACTCCGGACTGAAAATATGTAAAAATTTAATTTATCGCGCTGTCCTTTGCCCGTACATATAAAATATACCATCCGCATGTGATCCGTCTATGATAGAAATAAAATGGCAGCGGCGCGTAATTAATAAGCGACATTAAAATTTATTTCGCCGGAGCAGCAGCAGCCTCGATTCGGCGTCTCGCGCTAGAAATTGTTTTCGATTCCGAGACTTCGAGTTCGCCCACGACACGCGACTAAATCCTAATCGAGTGCCGAATGCACGCCGTAAACAAATCGAAGGCGCAAAAGCGTGCGCTACCAATATGAATTATTGATATTGGCTCATGTCGCGCATAATAGAATTAACGTTAATGATTTACGCGCTGGTAATCCGGCAGCGCGAGCGCGCGGCGGAATTTATTAACGTACAACACGAATGTCTGTGCTGTGGCGAGGCTGATTACAGATGAAAAATGAGCAACGCTCAAGTACGCCACAACAGTCGAAAAGTTTTTGTGTGCTAGGTGTCACAATTATCGGTAGGAATCCTCACACCGACTTGTCACTATCCACATTGGGGATCACTTTTGTTTGCATGGTATAATTATCTTACGAAATTACCGCTTTTATGGCTTGTTGTTTTGTTTAAATACTGATAAAGTGTTTTATGTTTGGCGTTAGTGTTGGACTGGCGTCTATGTTGCATGAATTAATTGAAGCTGGCATGCGACTATCATGCCAGTTTATTGCGAACGTCGACCACTTAATTAATTATGTAAATGTGGGCGTCATCGATTACTAAAACCTCACTCGACAAAGAGTGCTGAACAGCGACGACTGTGGTGTGTGCTGGCCCAGTGCAGGAAACTAGGATGAGCGTAGGTAGGTGATTCGTCGATTTTAATCATTTTAAGCGCAAGAAACAAAAATGTTTCTTTCCGTGTTATCTTCATTTAATGTAATAGCCATAATTATACGATTATGGTGTGTAGCGCGTATTAAAATGATTCGGGACTCCATATAAGATGAAGTCCGGATACCGGGGCCCAATTATTGGATCGTGGAGATGACTGGATGAAATCGGATTTTCGATGCGTCGGTTTTTCCGAGGCGGGCCCCTTCTTAATTCGTCCGATGGCCGCGTATCGTGTCCGAAGGTGTCGGATCGGTAGCCGTACAGCGAGATAATAAAATAAAAGCGAGATTCAGCTGACCTTGCTGGCGGGCCTCAGCGCCCCTCTCGCCGCTCGCGGCCTAACGACGAGTCCGACTTCAACTCCGACTCGACATTGTTGCGCGCGGCTCGATCTTCTTCGTACGTGGATAATGGGCAGCGAGCTGGGCGCGGGATCTTGATTTATGCAGCCGCGAGGCCCGTCGGGCGTTGGGAAGAGAGGCTCGCGAGAAGAAAAAACGACCAACAACAACAACCACACGAAGGGACGGCGACTCGTGGCTGCGCCGGCCCGGCCGCTCGTTTAATATAATAAAACGTGAGCGACTCCTAAAGATATTGCTTATCTCGAAAACACGTGTTTCGATCTCGCGCGACCAGCCACCCGAACCTACCACCGACACAACCAGTTTTTGCCCCTCCGACACCACGGCGCTTTTTATTTTTCAATTTCTGTAACACCTACGGATGCTGCCCGCCGCACGCGTTCGCATTTAGCGCCCGCTTGTTCATTTGCATCTCGTCGATTCTTTTTTTTTTCTTTGTTTAATCATATTGTGTACAATATTTTCGATTGTTTCTTCGGGGTCGTTGTATGAGTTAATCAAAACTAATTTCATTCCCTTTGTCATTCGTTGATTGTCGCATCAAAAGGAAGATTCGACACGGCGCGAGTGTTAACCACATTCATCGTATTCCCCGAAACTCCAATTAATTATGTTTCCTCTTTGTCGTCTGCATGCGGCCCGAAGCAAGCGTGTTCCACTTGTTACCTCCATCGCGCGGCTTGATGATGCCTGATCACAGTCTGTCCGATGACGGCCGGACTGCACTCATTTAGAGCCTGAGCGCGGCTCAGTTTCGTTAGCGTCGCGTAGAATAATGGGAGCGATGGGATCGGTGCGACAAAGCGCGCTAGAATTTTGTCAACCTGCGGTTCGTTAGTCAAGACTTTCTTGGCAGGACATGCATCAGCCGGCCTCGGATTCTCACCGATTTAGAACGGGAACGATTTGATTATTCAAAGAGCGCAAACTGCCAGAAAATAGCTGCCAGCCGGCTCCAGAAAAGGAAATAAATGAGCGGCACATGGGCAGGCATGCAGAATGCCACGGTTGCCCTTTAACTTGATTCTCGGTTGAATCTTGATTGCTGCTCGGTTGTCTACGCGCGGCCAGCTAATGGCAGTGATAATGGCCTGATACGTACGTTTGAAGTTACCTGTTGTGCGCTTGTCGCTGCTTCAAAAGGAATTTGATATCTCGGCATGTGTGTTACTGGGCAATGTAATGTATCGACTATTTTCGATTTGAGCATGAATATCAAACGCGCGCGCGAAGAAAGAAGAGAGCGGCGATAAATCGCGTCCGCGGCGAATTGATAAAATCATCTCACGCCACATGCTCGGTGGTAACCTTACACCCTTTATTATCTTTCTCGTCGCGCAGTGCTGTAAACAGCGTTTCTTCTGTGTGTTCTGCGCATGAAGCCCTGCATAACACGGCGATGATATTTTATACGTTCGGCGATGCCGCTGGGTGAAGACCTGGCATTCGATCACTGTCAACCCTTTTGTCGGATTTGGTCCTGTTGTTGTTAACGGGTGTCCAAATGCCATCCGCGCGCGATGGACCGTTTAAAAACATATCGGGCGCATGTTTTCGCTGCGAAATCGGAGCCGCAAAAATACCGCTGCGAGTTGGAGCAGCGCTAAAATGAAAACAACGAGCGCGCCAGGCGACAAGCGCGAAGCGTTCAAAATTAACTTTCAGGTGGACATGTTTTACGACGCGCGGTGGTTTCACGGCGCGCTTTTCGCATCATTATTGCGGGCCGACCGAACAAGGGCGCGAACGGCCACAACTCAGCGGCAATCTGCGCGACAATCGCTACACTTGTTTACAAGCATCGTAGCACGCCAGTTTGTTTCTTGCTCTGCGCGCTTTCTTTGAATTTTGTCGCCGAGTCGAAAGAATGCGTCTTGGTTTTGACACGAAGGGTTCCACCTCGAGCAACATGCTGGAACGTATGTAAAATGTTTATTTGCACGACGCGGGAAATTGGCGTTGCGCGTCTCTTAGTGGCGGCCGTGCTCAGGGTACCTGCAGAATTGTGATATGCTGTTGTGGTGCCTTACAATGGGAATCAACGCGGATTTGAAACGTGCAATACTCTGCGAGGCATGAAATTTTAAATTGCAATAAAGCACATGCATGTAAATATGTTTTTATTACTTTTACCGCAGCATGCACACGTGCATGATAAATTAGGTTGAGTGGTGTGGTGGTTGTTTTCCTGTGGGATTCGTATAAATTACCTGTTAACCTGA